TATGATTTTGAGAGACGCCGTAGTGGAGGGCTCCGGAAATTTTGACCACCTGGGGTTCTTTAACGTGCACCCAAATCTGAGCACACGGGCCTCGACATTTCCGCCTCCATCGGAAGTGCAGCCGCCGCAGCCGGGATTTTAACCCGCGACCTGCGGGTCAGCAGCCGAGTACCTTAGCCTCTTGACCACCGCGGCGGGGTTTAGCTTCCAAAACTTTCATAGGGATGAGAAGAGAGAATTCACTTGCAGCAAGCAACAACCTTTGCAGCTCTGCACGTATTGGAAGGATTCTAAATATTTTTGGGGCAGTTAATTCCTCAGGCAATAAACTTCTTTAGTGAATCCATTCCATGGCTCCTTGGAAAAGTGTCGCACGGCCCTTTTAAATAAAAATATTACCTTTAAATCAATTCATTTTATTAAGCTTAAAAGCTTGTTATGACGGCTTATATGCTCCGAGTATAATAGACTTAAAAATGTTACATATAATAAGCGTTATGACCCGCATCCTGCCGAAAGTCAAATTCTGCTACTACTCAAAGTCATTTTGACTTCTTGTGAACGGAAAAAAAAAATAGCATTTGCATATAGGCCCTATCTCAATTCAAAAAAATCTTCTGCAGGTCAGTTGGGTCATAAGAAATATGCCCGTTTCTCTTCACATGTCATAAGTACTACTGAGCCTAAAATTCACTATTCGCACAAGCTTAGCAGTAACCCAGATGACATCCTCCCAGTAATGACAGAAAAAGTCAGAAAAGCCTTGGAGGGAATGCAGAGAGGCAAAGCTGATGGTGAGGACAGATTGTGTTAAAAAAACTAGCCACCTTGTTTACGAAGTGTCTCCTGACAGGAAGAGTACGGAATTCTCGGCAAAATGCCAACATCATCTTAATACACATGAAAGGAGATGACAAGGGCTTGAAGAATTACAGGCTGACCAGCTTGCTCTCCGTCCTTTGCAAACTATTTACTAAGGTAATTGCTAACAAAATTAAGAAAACAATCAATCAACTAAAGGAACAAGCAGAATTTTGAACAGACTGCTCAACAATCGACCACATTCATCCTATCAATGCGGTAATAGAGAAAAGCTCAGAATATGGCAATCAAAACTCATATCCTTCATGGATTAGGATAAGGCATTTTATTCAGTAGAAATATCAGCAGTCATCCAGGCAATGCAGAATCAGGGCATCAACGAAGCATATGTAAACATTTCTGAATAAATCTCCAATCAACTGCCACTATAATGTTCCATAAAAAAAGCGACAGAATACCCATCAAGAAGGGTGTAAGACAAGCTGATACAATCTCCCCAATGCTATTTACCGTGTGATAACAGAAGGTTTTCAGAGGCCTAGAATAGCAAGGGTTAGGGATAAGAGCTAATGGAGAGTACCTTAGTAACTTGTGCTTCGCGGATGACATTGCAATGCTGAGTAACTCAGGTGATGAATTGCAACTCAATATTACTGAGTTAGACAAGGAGAGCAGAAAGGTAGGTCTTAAAATTAATCTGCAGAAAATGAAAGTAATGTACAACAACCTCGGAAGAGAACAGCACTTCAAGATAGGTAATAGTGCAATTGAAGTTGTAAAAGACTGTCTACTTAAGGCAGGTAATAACCGTGGAGCTGAACCACGAGATTGAAGTAACTGAAAGAATATGAATGGGGTGCAGCACATTCAGCAAGCATTCACACATCATGAATGATAGACTGCCACAATCCCTCAAGACGAAAGTACAGTCGAATTTCATTATTTCGAACACGCTTACTTCAAACTTCCGGTTAATTCAAACTCGAGATGAGGTCCCGTCATAGCTATGTGTATTCCATTGGGTGAAAACGCTCAGTAATTCGAACACCCAAGCACTTCCGGCGGTTAATTCGAACATACTGCACTCCAAAAATGCTCTCAGCACCCCGCCCAATTGCGCGGCGGTACCTGCCACACCTCAACACTGCGCGCGAAAGAAATGAAAAGGAAAGAAAAGGCTGCGGTGGAATGTTTGCTCTCTCTCAAATGCCGATCTGCGACTCGCCCATGTCACGATTCTCCCTTTTCCGTCCCTCCCACGTAAAGACCCTCCTTCTTCCAACTCCACGTGCAAAGAGAGAGAGAGAGGAAAAAAAACAAGAAAGCCGTCACTGGGTTCAATGAATGTGTGGTTGAAGGATAGAAAAAAGGCACTGTCTTCTGCAGCCCTTGCCCCTTGTGGGAGCACGGCTCTGCACCTTGAATGGGGGTGGGGGGGGGAGGTCTCTCACGTGCCGGTGCCACACTTCCTCTTTCCTGTCCCTGCCAAGTATCCCTTCTCCTTTTAATACCATGCGCGGGACGACCGCATGGTCCGGGAATGGCGCGCGCGCGAAGTTTGGTTTGATTTCGGGATTTGCACCTGTTTTGGACGCCGCGGCGGCCTCGAAAATACTATTTTTTTTGCACTTTGCGGTTGAATTAGGTGCTGATAATTACAGAATAGGTAGTTTATGAGAGCAAAAAAAAAAAAAAAAAAAAAGAGCTGCCGTGGAGTGTTGGTTTTTTCTCAAAATGCCGATCTGCTTTTCTCCGCGTGGAGACGCTCCTCTTTTCTCGTCACGTGCTGGCCAGGCTGTGGCTACGTAGCGGAGAGTGGGAGGCTCCACTACGCAGCAGCCATTGTCGTCGTCTTTAGAAAGTGTCGGCGCTAGACATTTTCGCGCGCAACTTCTATTGCCAGGAGGATGCTGAAGCCAAAGCAGAAATGCTTTGCAAGCTGCAAGCGAAATTGATTGACTCGCTGCAAGGCAAACGAGCGCAGACACGCATCACCAATTGCTTCAATTAATAACGGATGTCCTGTGACTTGTGAATAAATGAAAGTTTTCCTAAACTTCCCCCTCGTCTGTTAGCTCAATGCACATGCGCCACTGCATGGAGAGCCCTCTGTTTATTTAGCTTTCATTAATTTGAACTTTTTTTAATGCGAACAAACTTTCGGGCCCCCTCGAGTTTGAATTATCGAGATTCGACTGTATATACCAGCTGCATTCTGCCAGTACTTACAGAGCAGAAACCTGTAGGCTTACAAAGAGGGTTAAGCTTAAATTGAGGTCAACGCAGCGAGCGGTGGAAAGGAATATGGTAGGTGTAACCTTAAGAGATAAGAAGAGAACAGAGTGGATCAGGGAACAAACTGGGGTTAGGGATATCATAGTTGAAATCAAGAAGAAGAAATGAACATGGGCCAAGCATGTACCGCGTAAATAGTATAATCGCTGGTCACGAAGAATAAATGACTGGATTCCCAGAGAAGGCAAGCGGGTTAGGGGGATACAAAAAGTTAGGTGGGCAGATGAGATTGGAAAGCTTGCGGGAAAAATGGCAGCAGCAAGCACAGGACCGAGTTGACTAACTCACGCAAAAAAGGTGGCCGAGCTAAGGTGCAGAACAAACACTTTTACGTACTCTTACTTTCCTCGGACAATCGTCGAGTGGAACGCCTTATCTCCTCATGTGGTAGAACGTTCCAACATTGATTCTTTCTGCAGGTGATCAGAAATGAAGTTCTTTAATCGCCACTATGCTCGAAGCGTCATGTAAAGTCATGTACTCACTTGCATTCGCTTTCACTTTGCTGTGTTCGAATAAATGGTGAAACTTTCTTTCTCTTTTTTCTTTTTTTTCTTTGACTTTTTGTGCTATGTAAGTACAATGTCAGTACAGTGCAGTCCACTTATAACGATACCACATATAACGATATATCGGTTATAACGATGGGTCGACTTAACAGTCTCATTTTATGCATTGGGGCTATGGGGAAAAAAACCATATATAACGATATGTTATCCACCGCATATCGGATACAACGATGAAAAGTTTGCCGTGGACGACATGTTTCATTCAGAATAATCGTAACATTTAGATTGATAAGTTCCTCTGAAACGAACTATGCCGAGACAAGACGAAAAGTTAGCGTAGGCGAGTACGTATCTGCCGCCACTGCAGCACAGCGCCGGCACCGCGTCCCGGCCGTTCAAAAAGCCGAGGAGAGCATGGCGAGTTGGCGCGACGCGCTACAGATGGCGCCAGCTGTGTCACGTTTTGCGCCTCGCCGCGCGTCGACCGCGGAGAGGCTGAGAGAATTAAAAAAAAAAATGCGAAAAGCAAAGCGCCGCGCTCCGCGGCTCCCCGCCTTCTACAACGGCAAGCCGGCAAGCTACTCGTAGCTTGCCGAACGAAAGCGGGAAAGGGAGAGAAAATAAAAAAAGCGAAAAGCAAAGCTGCGCGGCGGCATCGGGGCGGGGCCTCGTTGGCATTCCGGCTGTGTACCTGTGGCTGTGCTTTCTTCCTCCCACTGCTCCCACCTCGCCGTTGGTCAGTCTCTCTTCCTCAGCGAACCCGTGATGCGTTCTTCGGAGTAAGAAATAAAGTCTTGTTTTTGACATCCTACTATCTACAATATTTATTAATTGGTGAAAATAGCGAAATGAAGCCTGGAGCTACAAAAGGTACGTTCGGCGAGGATTTTTTGGCGGCAGTCCAGATATAACGATCACCGGTTATAACTATCATATTTTTAGGTTTTCTCGATATCGTTATAAGTGGACTGCACTGTACCTGCAATGCTTTCTTCTATGTAAATACTTAATGTGAGTACCTTGTGCTATGCGAGTACTAACTGCTGTGCAATTGGTTCCCTTTCGTTGCTTTTGCATATTTTGCCAATGCCGTTGATTTGCAGAATACTAAGTCATGTATTTCTTTTTTGTTTGTGCAGTTCTATTCAATACTTTGAGCTTGTTCTGTGTTGTGTATTTATGCCCCACTCCTGCCTAAGGCCGCCATATGAGATCGGCAGTATGTAATAAATAAAAAAATAAAAAAATAGAATCATGGGAGAGTCCTTTGTCCTGCAGTGGACGTAGTCAAGCTGATGGTGATGGTGATGATGTAAGGCAAATGTGATTTGGAATAAGCATGTAGGAAGTCCCAGAGCGAAAGACAGTGCTCACTTGCGCCCAGATGTGAGCGTGTCCAGCAGCTGAGCCACCAGCTGCTCACGGTTGGCCTGGTCACTCAGCTCGTACAGCAAGCTCAGGCACTTGGAGGCCAAGCTTTGGGTCAGTTCTGCAAGCATACACCACCAATCAGCATTGTCACAGTGATGCAGGCATACGCCGAAAATACCAACCAGACTTCTTTTGGCACTTGCCCATTTTAAACCACTGAAACTCCTTTGCAATTGAAACTTGAGTGTAACTTGTTGTTTGGCTAGTTGGTGCCTGCTACAACTTAATGAGGCGACATGAACCACCAAGAAGAATAGACAAAAAGAAAAAGCGTCATTCATGACTAACTTCAAGACCGTCACATTGTACACAACATGCATCACCATGCACTTGCAATGAGAGCGGTCAATTGTTGTGATGCGACACGTAGCGTGTTGTTGCAAACAAGTTTTGCGGAAACTCGCAATGATGGAAGGGTCAAGACTGGAAAAGAAGGCAATGGCTTCATGCTACAAACGGGTGGTTGTCTTCTTTCCCTTTCATAGCACGTTGTTGCACATGTATCATGGTGTATACATTGCACCGGTTTTGAGAGAATAAAGTTACCTGCAAATGATGTTCTTTTCTTTTGCCTATTTTTCCTCGAGGTTTCCATCGTCTAATTATTTTGTAGCACATGAAACTGTTCTTTCATCAGTTCAGCCATATTGCACGAACTACCAAAAGGATGACACAGGTTTTACAAGACGAACTAGTGAACACACCCCACGATCATAGCTGCAAGCACACCAGCTTGTCATCTGCAGAGGCCGAATATTGAAGCCTGTTTTAGATGCCAAAAATAGGCAGGTGAAATAACAATGTTAGGCCTCCAATTTAGCAAATATTAGCAAAATCATAAATTTTTCCACAAATGCAGGTAATTTTAAGCGAAGATGAACGGGGCCTGTATTTACAACAGGAGAAAAAAAAAAAAAGAAGCTACAGTTTGTAACAGCACAAATGAGCCAACATAGCCATGCAATTGCCCCAAAGGCTGTTCAACTAATGATCATCAATTGACTTTGAACGAGTACACTTCTCACATTTGTGGCGACACACTGTGCATAAATCAATGCAGGCAGTTTGACTCGGCCGCTTGCTGCAACATGTGTCCAATAAAAGACAGCGCCACCGAACGCTTACGTTAATATTGATGGCGACAAATCCAAGCTGCCAAACCCAAAAGATAACTATTGTTTCTCGAACTGTTCGAGATCAGCGACGGCATGCTTGCGGTGCTAGTGCTACCAAAGTAATAAACAGTTGCTATTTTTCATGTTGAAATGTGTCCTTCCATCGAAGCGGCATCCCACACAATCATGCTCTATGACCACTCCCCTAACCCGTGCATTGCACATGAGAAAACAGGCACGAAAACAAATACTTGAGAGATTGGTATACTAACATAGAAAGCGCTACTTTCTGTCTGACTAATGCATCAAATTAGGACACAGCAAAAACAGACACATATTGAATGCAAATGAAATGACTATTTATTATGATATTATTGTGTTCCTACGCAAGCAATGTGAGCTGCAACATTGGCAATTATCAGATACAAGTACACAGGCACTTCTTGAGTTCTACAGAGAATGATTCCCAATACTGCCAAAAACACTTCCACCTATTCCAAGTACGCATGCTTGAAGAAATCTGCAGAGCGTGAAGAACATAGTTTAACATAGTTTAACGATTACTGCGAAAACTGTAAGAACAATTGTTGTGTTGGGCATTTCATGACCTCAGATCAGTTTCGATTTCAATGGGATGTGTCGCATGGTGCCACGCAATCGCAATATTGTGAACCATTGCTACGTGCCAATGCGTGCTGTCTAAATAAAGAGCCCCCTTCCCGGTTCTCAGCCTAGCGTGATGTTCTTCACAGCGCTCGGGCGCGTTAGTGCCTATTGTTTTCATTGGACAGTGCCCTGGCGGCAATGCAACAAACTGGCGACGAGATAAACAAAAAGTAAGCAGCTTACGTACTTTGCCGACATCTTCCGCTGATTTTGTATGCGGATTGCCACCTTTTTGGGCACATTTACAGGCCACCACTCTACTTGCATGCTGCACAAAATGTGTTAGGCCTACTGTGAACATTCCTGCACGTTTGGCCACTGCTTGCTGGTACTGGTGGCTCGCCAACGTATACTGGTGACTGCGACTCTTCAGTGCCTCAACGTTCCAGCATGACTTCCAAGATTACTCCTCTCCCGTTCCTGCAAACTCCGGGCGCCCCTCCCGTATCTTGGGCCAAATGGCGCCGTGTCTTTCAGGCCGTCAATGTCACCGCTGGAGACACCCCCCGGCTCGATCTGAAGAAGAGTCTACTAGTAAACGCACTCTAAGTGGACAGACACTACTGGACACTACAAAATGCACAGGATTAGGCGGGAAGCAGAGACGGGATTCTAGACAAAGGCACGCAGAGTGAATACATCAAAACACTCACACTACTGGAGAATCATTTCAAGGCTCAAAGCAATGAAGTTTTAGAGCGTCATTACTTCTAAATGCGCAAGCATATGCGGGGGAATAAGTTACTGACTACATTTGTGCTTTAGAGATGATCGCGAGCGAATGCGACTTCGGCGCTTCTGCCAATTCCATGGTCCGCGATCAGCTGAACAAAAGCATGGCCGACGGCCTCCCCGACAGAACTCAGCTGGAAGCCAACATGGCCGCGGGCATCACGACTCCCGTCCTACTACATCAAATTTCGCTAGCCACCTGGATGGACCACACCAGTCTAAATCAGGTGCCTGCTACAGATGCGGATCGCATTAACACTACGCGAATTTTCCTAATTGTCCAGCCCGCAACCGCACTTGTTCTGCCAGCGGGAAATGAGGTCACTACCGAGCTGTATGCCACTCATCGAATGTCAGCACGTCTCAACAGAACGTAACTGAAGAACAAGATACTGCTGTAGCAAACACAGTTACAATCCTAAACATCAATAAATGCTCCAGCCGTCCTTCGCGCTGAAGATTACTGTTCAAGTTGGTCAAGTCAAAATTGCTTTCCTCGTTGACACCAGTGCAACCGTATCGTTGCTTAACTACCAATATTTCAAGAAGTACTTTTCGGGGGCCATACTACTTGACTCGTACGTTGTTCTTCACGACTATTCGAAGAAATGCATTCCTAACCTCGGATACCTCTCTACAAGCATTCGATACAATGGTACCACTGCTGCTGTCACATTCTACGTGACGAAAGAGGGTTCTTCATTTCTTGGGTTGGATGCCATTCAAAGCCTTAACATAACCATCGATGGTGCAACACTGTCCTGCTAACAAGTTTCAAGTTCAGAAACTCCAAGAATTCCTGCCAATACTCCTTCTGAATTTCATCACCTCTTCACCCAGGAGCTTGGACTGTTGAAAGGCTACATGCACGAAGTGAAACGCCATCCAGGTGTGCAGCCAGTCGTTGCCAAACTGCCAGATTGCCATTCCTGCTTTGAACTGCCAGATTGCCATTCCTGCTTTGACAACAAATCTCCAATGAACTTTCTCGTCTTGAAAAAGCAGGCCTCATCGAATGAGTTTTAGGATCAGATTGGGTCTCTCCACTGCTCATGGTGAAGAAAAAGAATGATTCCTTACGACGTTGTGTGGACTTGCGTGAACCAAACAAAGCTACCGTGGTTGATGGGTTTCCCCTACCCCACATCGAAGAACTTCTCCAGCAACTTACAGGTGCTGTTTACTTTTCAAAGCTAGATCTTGCATAAGCGTACCATCAGGTTAGCATTTCAGAATTAAGTAGAGACTCAACTACCTTTGTAACGCATGATGCTTTATTCAGATTCCGTAGAGTTTGCTTTGGGCTTGCATCTGCGCCTGGTTTTTTTTAGAAAATGATGTCAGACATTTTGAAAGACTGCTCTGGAGTACTGTGCTACTTAGACGACATTTTGGTCTGGGGTCAAACACGTGTTGAGCATGATTCTAAATTACAAGCTGTACTAAGACGCATAAGAAGCACAGGAATGGAACTGAACGACAAATGTGTCTTTGCTGTCAAACAAATTGAATTTTTAGGACACAATGTCAGTGCCAGATGACTGTCTCTTCTTGAATCCAAAGTGCATGCTTTTGTTAATGCACCTGCACTTAATGATTGATTGATTGATATGTGAGGTTTAACATCCCAAAACCACCATATGATTATGAGAGACGCCGTAGTGGCGGGCTCTGAAATTTCGACCACCTGGGGTTCCTTAACGTGCACCCAAATCTGAGCACACGGGCCTACAACATTTCCCGGAAATGCAGCCGCCGCAGTCGGGATTCGAACGCCCAACCTGCTGGTCAGAAGCCGAGTACCTTAGCCACTAGACCACCGTGGCGGGGCTATGCACCTGCACTTGCAGATTCTAAAACCTTGCATTCTTTTTTTTGATCTCGCTGTCTATTACTCAAAGTTCAATCCACATTGCGCCGATAGTGTTGAACCACTGCTTTCCGTGTTGGATAAAGGCCAAACATTCAACTGGTCCAAGGAAGCTAATTCAGCTTTAACAATATCAAAGAAGTAATAGCTGCAAAACCACTTATTCAACTTTTTGACGAGAAGCTTCCAATAATCATTACGACTGATGCGTCGAGCATAAAATTGGGTGCCGTGTTTCAACAACTCAAAGGGGACCAGTTAATTACAATTGCTTGTGCTTCGAGAACTTTGTCTCCTGCTGAACACAGATACTCTGCTGGTGAGCGTGAAGCCCTAGCCTGCTTCCTTGCTTGTGAGAAATGACATGTGTTATTATGGCGTAGACATTTTTCATTATGCACTGATCATCAAGCTTTTGTTACGTTACTTGATGAGAGGGCCGACGCCCATTACACATTTCTCGCCGGTGTGCCAGACTGTTATACTACAACTTCATTGTACAGTACTGTAAAGGTTCACATAACGTTATGGCGGATGCACTTTCTCGTTTACCTTTGCAGTTTCCAGTTTGCCCAAACTAGAAGAAGAAATAATCTCTCTCGTTACTCCTTGCATAAGTAAAGCTGACCTATAGACAGTAACTGCTGACGATACTACATTGCAACATGTGCTTGC